TAACAACAACAACAACAAAAACAACAACAACTATTATTATTATTATTATTATTATTATTACAATTAGTTAAATTAATATTACCGTTTATTTCAATAATCTAATCTCGAGACTAGAAAGCTGGTGTAACATCTTAACATAGGAAACTAGAAGTTTGTCAACATCATAGACAATAATATATATTTGTATCAATCAAATATATTTGTACAAAAGGAAAATGTAACATTATACATTATTGAAAGCTTTCTTCGGAGTTAAGCAGAAAATTACGTCAAGCCCAATCATTTTAAAATCAAAGTGATGTTATTGAAAGGCTCTGTTATAGTGTGTATCAAATTATTAAATAAGCGTAAGATGAAGCCAGAGTCAGCAGTTTTCAAGCACAGAACAATATTCTGCAAATGTTTTCTTACAGAAATAGGTAAATTATATGAAGCTGTAGGTAATATGCTAAACGTGCAACTGGGTGTATTTCGTAAACCTTTCATAGGCGGAGTTTCACTTTTATGCGTGGGGGGGGGGGGGCCACCAATGTGTCAGGGGGAAACAGTAAGGAGATATTTGAATTATTTACTTATAAATAGTGTTTTCTGAGTCGGTGTCGCAAGGATGAAGTTGCCGATCCTGACTCGCCATCTCCTCATTAGACGCGCCTTTCGAGAGAAGTGGCATTTTTAAGGATTATGATTATAATGAAAGAGTTTTTGTTTTTTATTTTTTTATTTCGTTAAGTAGTAATTTAAAGCTTTCTATAGACATATATTACCATGCCTGTGAGGCATGTATTCGCTGAGTTTCGGTTCGTTTTTGTGAAGAGCTCCTGTTCAAGACGAGACGGCAGAAAGCACATCATATTTGTTTTCTTTTTTTTTTTATAAAAGCACAACGTTTTGTTGATATTGCGAGTCCACACAAAGTACGAATGATGTATTACTCGAGTCTCACCTTTACGAGCAAAAATGACGGCGTATCCACTGAATAAAATGCAAGTGATTGCGCTGGCGCCACCATGTCCTGCAAAGCGCTTTAGCTTCCACTCTCCGCACAAACTATTGGATACAGCGCACATTTATCTAGGTTTAACGTTTAAACATTGTTATATGCTTGAACTGTTTTATATCTACAGATTTTATTTTAGTCAAGTCGTGATGATTTGAGAAGGCTACCTTTAGAGAGAAGTGCATCTTTACGGATTATGATTATAATGAAAGAGTTTTTGTTTTCGATTTGTTTTAGGTAGTAATTTAAAGCTTTCTATAGATAGCCTATATTTATCATGTCTGTGAGGCATGTATTGGCTGAGTTTCGGTTCATTTTTGTGAAGTGCTCCTGTTCAAGACGAGACGGCAGAAAGCACATCATATTTGTTTTCTTTTTTATTTTATAAAAGCACAACGTTTTGTTGATATTGTGAGTGCACACAAATAAAAGTAGACCCTTTACAGTTACGAATGATGTATTACTCTTACCTTTATGAGCAAAAATGACGGCGTATCCACTGAATAAAATGCAAGTGATTGCGCTGGCGCCACCATGTCCTGCAAAGCGCTTTAGCTTCCACTCTCCGCACAAACTATTGGATACAGCGCACATTTATCTAGGTGTAACGTTTAAACATTGTTATATGCTTGAACTGTTTTATATTTTATATCTATAGATTTTATTTTAGGCAAGAAAGGCTAAATTGATCAAATAGGCTCATGTCTGGCGCTGGCCGCTTGGTCCTTACTTTAAAAAACAAAAACTAAACGAAATATAATCACTTTGCCATTACATACAAAACTGAACCATTTCAATAGCTGAAACAGTAGTATAAGCTGTTTTGGGAGAAGGGGGAAAAAAGACGGGCTCGGGCCGGTAATTCTGATAAGCTGTCGGACACGGGCCGGGCTAGGGCCTAAATTTGACGCCCGTGCAGGGCTCTAAGCCGAACCAACGGGCAGCGTGAGTTCAAGCTGCAGTAGTCTGAAAAAGGTTAAATATTTGTCCTTCCGTAGCCTACTTGATAATTAATAATAATTTAATTAATAATTTTTGCATTTAGTAGACGCTTTAAAAGCAACTTACAGTGCATTCAGGCTATACATTTTTGACCAGTATGTGTGTTTCCTGGGAATTCAACCCACGATCTTTTGCGCTGCTAACGCAATGCTCTACCACTGAGCCATAGGAACTACCGGTACTTCATATTTATGTTTCTCAAGAGTGATCGGCGATGCGATCGCACATTTCACAAGATCCATTTCAGCTGTCACAAGCTGAGGGTGAATCTTAAGGCTTGCGTACATGCTTAATAGGGGACTGATGCTGTTTTAGTCACAACTGAATACTGCGTCACACGCTACACTCGAGGCCAACGCTTCATGTGAATATCGCCTGTCCAATTCAGCCAGCGGTGACTCAGTCCACCACATTTTTATTCGCGGGTTTATTAAAATATACAACGAATTTCCATTATTCAGTTAACTTGCTAAAGCGGGAAAATATTGATAAGAGATTCCTCTCATATAGCCTATCGCGACAAGTTAAGAATCATGATGAGTCGCGGCTCGCGAGAATGGGCCAGTAGCCCCTCACTGCGGAACACAAGATCCAGTGGGCGTGGTTGGATCTACATCTGTGGATCTGTGGGGGTGGAGAGATTGGTAGGTTAAGGGGTGGAGATGGGTGGGTTTAGGGATCAGGGGGTGGAGACGGGTAGGTTTAGGTATATGTAAGGTAGGAGGAGTTGGATCTGGATGCAACCACGCCCCTTGGATCTTGTGTTCTGCAGTGAGGACCAAATATCATAGAAAGTACTTTAGCCCAAAACGTACTAATTCTATCCACTAAAATAACAAGATAATACAAATAAAATGAGAAAATATCAATTATTTAATTTTTATATTACATAATTGGGGGGGGGTCTCTAAACTCCGCCTACGCCTTTCAGCATCTTTGATCGCCGCAATGGCGCAGAGGACTCAGCTGCTGCTCAGGAAACATTCGTGACCGGTGAGCCATTAATTAATTCCCTTTAACACAAACGCATATCAAGCGTATGATAGGCATACATCTGGATATGGTGATACTGCATTAAGAGAAAGAGAAATTGAATCGTTAATGCAGAATCATAGAAAGTACTGTCTATCTGTAAGAATGTTTTGGGTTAAGAGAAAATGGACCTATAACAGTTTAGCAATTGGTATTGTTTCATTTGTTATTCATTGCTGTCTGCCTATTTAGTACTTGCTCAAGTTAATAGCCCATTGCCTTCTATTTTAACAGCTTGTAATATAACCAATAACGAACAAAACAAAACTTGAAAAGGTATTACCATTTAAGTACATGTGTGTAGCTATCTATATTTTTCTGATTGCACTGTCTTGATTGGTCATCATTCAAGATGTGCTTTATAGCAGTACAGTAATTTAGTATCAATGAAGCGTTATTGGCATAAGCCAAATTAAAACGGTCAGTACAGGAGCTGTGGCAAAGGAATATAAGATGAGGGAGAAAATAATTTAAAAGTATTCATAGAATACAATGGGGATGGATTTAGATGTGCCATAAGACCTATCTGTCTCTTTGTTACACTTATGATTGGTCTTTCCATTACAAGAAAAAATGAAGATAGTACTGCTATAGTACTGTAGCTGAGCACAGGTTTAGAAAAGTGTCTAGTCATAAAACAAACAGGTTTGGACATAGAAGAGTCAATAAAACATTCTCAGCATTGCAGTCAGAGCAGTCCTTTGGACTCAGAAGAGAAGTTTCAGGCATTGAGGTTACATTTAGGTAAAGTCTGTTTCATTCTAATGGTTCCCCTTTTTGGAAAAGTGTCATCATCTTATGATGTTCTCAAGTGATGACATATAAACAAATATGAAAATGCTGATGAGCAAATTTGACACATCTGTGACCACATGTGATTTGTTCCACTGATTGTATGTACTGTAGCAAACACCTAAATGTTTGTTTCATAGGAAATTTATTTATGCGGTTTCAAACATCCATGCTTTAAATCTGTCAGTTATCTGCAGTTTATAAGTTTACTGGAAATTATAAGAGTAAGTAAGTAAGTGAGTAAGTAAGTAAGTAAGTAAGGAAGGAAGGAAGGAAGGAAATAAGTAAGTACACTCTTAAAAATAAAGGTACTTAAAAGGTTCTTCACAGTGATGCCATAGAAGAACCATTTTTGGTCCACAAAGGACCATTCAGTCAAAGGTTCTTATAAGGACAATCTCTTTCTTACCTTTTTATAATCTGAAGAATACTCAAAAGAAAAATGATTTTACGATACTGTTCACTTTATTTAAACAATTCATTTTAATTTAACACCATTGTATTAGATTTCTCGTTCAAACACAGTTGCATTGTGTTAAACTGACTTAAAACAGTTATGCTTTTGGTTCAACTAAATGTTTTCAGTTTCAATGTCAATTAAGTAGGTCAAAATATATGGAGATAAAATGATGCCTAAAAGATTTGCATGTGCAGGGTAAGATTTGTGAAAGTGTACATATTTTACATAAGATAGCAAGCGTAAATTAATTTTGCATTCGCAAGAAAATATTTGTAAAAGTGTAAATCACGTTTCAAGTGTAAGAAAAGAAGATTTGCAGCCTTTTACTGTTTTTTTTGTAAGTGTAATTCATGTATTGTGAAACTGCAACTTCGTGCTAAGGCAAAATAAATATGATCTGTATTCTGACTTCCATTTTTCAGCACTTACACTTTTGGCACTGTTGTTTCGCCCAAATACAGCCAAAAGCCAAATTGCAAGCCTGTGCACAATGTTTCGCAAGCGAAAACAACCGTATCAAGAACTGGAAAACGGATTGACCGCGTAAAACTCTTTACGTTCGGGGAAACGAGCTTGAGTTCGATTCAATCGAACCAAACAAAACAGGTGTGAATACACCCTTATGGTCTCGGTCAGCTTCCAAACGAACTATGGTACGGTTCGTTTAAGGTGTGAATATGACCCGACCTCGATCCGACCCAATTGCAGAAATCATGCTCAGAAACAGGCGCATATAGTGCTGTTATTTGTGTTTCAATGGCTTAAATCACTTGTTTTTAAACCACAATGCTTAAAAACACATGCAAATGATGAGTTTTCGTGACCATGGCACACAACAACATGACGTGAGTGCGCTAAATAGGCTAAAGCTTGCCGCAAAAATTACCCCATTTAAAGCTTTCTATAGATATATTCATCATGTCTGTAAGAAAAATATTCGCTGAGTTTCGGTGCATTTTTGTGAAGCGCTCCTGTTCAAGACCGAGACGGCAAGCGCATCCTATTTGTTTTCTTTATTTTACAAAAGCACAATGTTTTCTTGATATTGTGAGTGCACACAAATAATAATAGACCCTTTACAGTTCCGAACGATGTATTGTTCTTACCTTTATGAGCAAAATGTCCTGAAGCGCGCGCTTCCACTCTCCGCACGATTGGATATGCACCTATTAGCATACATTTATATAGGTTAAATGTTTAAACTAACATTGTGATATGCTTTAAGTAGCCTATTTTATATCTATAGATTTTATTTTTGGCAAGTCGTAATTATAACATCGTAGATATGCACCTAATAGCGCACATTTATCTAGGTTAACTGTTTAAACTAACATTGTGATATGCTTTAAGTATTTATAGGTTTTATTTTCGGCAAGTCTTAATTACAACATCGTATGACATTGTCTCATATGATGCTCATAAGTTTCTTCATATTACGTTAGTATCTGATAACACCAAATCAGTAAAATAATAAAAATTGCACTATGAAAGATCTCCATGATTAGCCTGTTTTTGCACTTCCTGTTTTTCCCTGTTTGAGAATTTCTGTCCAATGAATGGATGATCTTAGCACACGTGTGGTTTTGTTTAGAATTTCTGGTCCACTTGCAAAAAAGGGCAGTGACAAAAAAACAAAAAAAATCTACATTGTATTTGGTCCGGACGAAAGCAAGTGAACTAGCGGACTTTCCTGGTGTGAATACACTCTTAATGTCAGTAATAATTTCACCACCACCAACGCATCTAATAGCCTATTCTCTCTGAGTTTCCATGTTCCCTTACGAAAATTAGCCATGGTTTTAACACGAATAAAACCAAAAATCATGGTTCTTGTAGCCATGGTAACCGCAAATTAACCATGGTTTTGTTACTTGGCTGTAGAACCCGGAGTCTAGTATTAAGATGATAATTTTTTGTGGTTATAAAAACAGACCTAAGCCAACAATAGCCTTTCAAATGACTTAAAATGCATTATATAAAAACAATGAGGACATAATGATTGGTTAATTGATAATTATATGGTTTCAATGAATAAGACTGTTAAAATACATAATGTAATACAAAATAAACAATTTATGTACATTACATGTTATTACAAATGCCTGCAAAGGGAGCCAAAGGCCTGGTAATTGCTGCTGCTACACTTACAGGGCAATCAAATCCTTGTTTAATAGGCTATTGACCAAACATAACAACCTCTATAATTTCTTCAACAAAAAACATGTGGACATCACAACCCTTACAAAAATTAACCATGGTTGCTTAATTTTCTTTTACATGATTTCTGAATGCCTGAGACTATAAAATCAATCAGACAACTGTATTCATAAAATCATAGCCATAGGTAACTCTTTACTCAAATACTTTAGTTAGGATGAACTTGATTGATTCAAGTTATTTGGACATGGTATTTTAAGTTTACTCAATTCAGTTTAGTTAATATCATGCATTATGTATTTGAGTAGAGATAACATCTGTTATGTGGAACCACTGTCCATAATTGAATTAAGTTAGTTTAAAGTATCTTTTTTTTTTGTTGAGTGAACCTTTATTCACCACAAATAACCTTTTGTGAAGCAGAAAGGTTCTTCGGTTGTTAAAGGTTCGAACCATTTAGACAAAAAAAAAAGAAAAAAGGTTCTTCTATGGCATCGTGAAGCACCTTTATTTTCTAGAGTGTAAATAAATAAATAAAATAAAATAATATAAATTGTTTTTTTTTTCTGCCTAGAATAAAAGGATCAATGACTTGGCACATTTTGTCCAGATCTATTTATTCAAAATGCAATTTATACATGCAATTACTTGTATAATGCATCTATAATGAGTACATTTTTAATTTCTGGATTAAAATTTATTTAGCCATTTTTGGGGGACATAAAGTCAAAAATATATCAGGATGATACAACTGAAAAGCACACTTAATTCAAATAGACCTTTCCCCAAAAATGTTTATCTGAAGACATGTCTAAATGCACTTTTCATTAAATTTAAACTTTGGTATAAAGTAATTTGAAATCAACAAGATTTGAAGGCTTCCTTGGCTCATGGAACTCACATTTCTGAGGAGTTTGACGTAGATAGTCACACATAAGAGGAAATCTTTTAGTGGTCTTGTGATAGGAACTGTGAAAGTGCAATTATAATCTTATTCTAAACACTGTTGCATCACTCAACTGAAAGGGAAGCACAGAAATAGTGTGTCTTGTGCCAATCACACATTTAACTTCTGCTGTTCTTTTTATTTTAGGTTCTAAAATAACAGAAACTCCAACAAATCATAAGGTCAGCGGTTTCAATCCATTGTGCTGAATGACACGAGCTTGTATTTGGGTGTGGATCAGTGCATTTCTCAGTCGACTACAAAACCCTAAAATGTTGCCCATTCAGACAATCCTGCTTTGTGGCATTTTTGCTCAAAGCCGCCTATCTCACGCTTTAATGTGGAATGTATGTTTGAGGAGTCAGAGAGTGAGGCACAAACCAGTATTTCAGAGCTTATCAGTGCTCTCAGTAGTTCATTCACTTGTTCCTCTCAAAATCAGTTAAACTGTAAAAGGGTTAAAGGGGGTTGTACAGCAGCCCACCGATTCCCAGAACCAGCTTCAATTTATACACACAAAAATGTGTTTTAGAATTATATTTATTTACAATTTTATTTTGACATTTAATAAGGATCAGTAGGGAACTTGTTATATCAAAATATTTGATGCAGAATTCAACAAGCAACTATTTAAAAAAAAAAACAGCTCTGTTATTGAGATCTGTGCTGGATTGAATGATTACAAACATCTGCTGCTGAGAGTGTCCTAGAAGGAAATAAGAGGAGGGATTTGTAAAAAATGGGAGGGAAAAGAAACACAGAGGTTCATATAAAGAGACAGTAAGTGAGAGGGAGGGAGAAGTGGATGTCTGTACACTTTGTTGAAGGAGTTGAAGATTCAGAAGTAAGTGTGCATCCGCATTCATGTGTCTTGCTGTTACTCATTTGAAATTTTTGAAGTTTTCTTAATAAAGCTGAACTAATTACATTTTTAATTCTTTTCAAGGACACTGGAGAAACTCCAAAACTGTTTGAAAAGAGGGCAGAGGAGTGCAGCAGAGAGAAAGAGGCAAGATGTTTGGCTGCCTGGGAGGCGGGTTGAGGGTACGGTCCTGGTTTACTCTGATATCTGGGTTAGTGGAATGTTTGGGGTTCGCGGGGGCTGTTTTTGGCTGGGCATCGTTGGTTTTTGTGCTCAAGACTGAAGGCTACTTCAGAAGTCTATGTGTGAATGCCACAATAAATGGAACTGCTGTTGAAGGTCAGTTGAAAATGCAAAACATATGCATTGTGTATGCATGTCTAGCTGTGGAAACTGTGTAGTACATTTAACATTTGCTGTGTGTTAGATTGCAGTAGACAGGATGAGCAGCTCTCACTCATCTTCACCATCGCATCCTTCATGAACAACTTCCTCACGCTGCCAAATGGCTTCCTGTTTGACCACTTTGGCACCACTGTTGCCAGGCTACTGGGAATGTAAGTCAGATTTGCATGTGTATTTGTCTGGCTAAAGATGCCTGTCCTGCATACTAATATCACAACCACACAAAAAAGGTAATACTATGATATTCTACTATGAATACTAAGTATTCCAGCATATCTTGCGGCATACCATGGTAAACAAATATGGTAATCAGGCAGTACTAGGGTATTACCACCTGATGCCATCATATTGCTGTTGTACTTTTTGCAAGGGATGTGTGTCCTTCTATCCTTTTATTTTAAGGACTTTTTAGTGTTTTTTTTTATAAACACTATGACTATATTCACAAAATTGCTATATTTTGAGTGTAGTAATGGTTAAAGGCCGTTGTAAGGCTGTTCACTCTCCTGTTATCCATATGTTTGTGCCTCAAAAGCAATTAGGAGGGAAGTGTATTAAAATAGACTTTCATTTCTGCTGTGGGAAAAAGTAGAGAGATTGTGTGAGAACAGAGGGGTGATATTGCGACTGAGGGAAGGAGGGAAATTTGGCAGGACTGAGTGATCTGTGGTGCACTGAGAATTTGGATGTTTTCAGCCTCTATAGAGATCGCACAATAAGGCAGAAATGATTGAATGTAGTTGTCACCAAATGTATTTGGACACAAGTTCAAGTCACGCAGTACTATTGTGAAATATTATTGCAATTTAAAATAACTATTTTATATTTGAATTATGTGTGATTTTATGTATGTTGAATTGTAAGTGATTATCACGGCAAGCAGTGTTGCTGCTGTGTCCAATACAGACCAACCTCTTTGAAAGCATATGTCCACACAGCACATAAGTCTCTTTTATTTCGAAAGAGCAATTTAATGCATCCTTGCTGAATAAAAGTGTTAATGTATTAAAAAAAAATCTTACTGACCCCAAAATTTTAAAAGGTATTTTATTTGTGGCTTAAGTGTCCAAATATTTTTGGGGACACTTTATCTCTCAGCTCATAAATCTAAATCAGTATAGATAACTCAATCCCTTATGTTTCCATATGTTTTGAGACCGAAGGGCAGAGAAAACATCAAGTAGGCTCTGTCACCTATTTATTTAACCACTCATATTCTCATGTTATGATTTACTTTACAGATCGGTTTACACTGCAGGAATGTTGTTAATAGCCTTTTCAAGTCCTGGTAAATAGAGTTTTTTAATCTTTATTTGACCTTTGGTATATTGATACATTTCAGTTTGTTTATAGCCATAACCGATTTTCACTCCTGCAGTGAACTCCGTCCTCCTCTTCCCTGCTCTGTCCTTCATTGCTGTGGGAGGAATTCTGTTCTTGATGACCAACATACAGGTACTGAATATTTCATTATGCAGTGAGGCTTCAAACCCGTTGTGATATGTAGCAACAAATGCATGAGCTGCTTCAAAAAAGCTTTTCACTGGGTTTTCTCAGGATATGAGGGTGCTTTCTGATTTGACCTTCACATGCTACACTGTTTTTTGCTGTAAAAAAAAGGGCAAATTTTGACAGTAACATGCCGTTTTCCATTAAAACAGTGCATTCTGGGTAATATTTGTCATTTTCGAGAAAGTGGCCTGCTGCTATATATCGTGAATAAATGGCGTTCAAAGTCAACCCTCAGAGACTGTGTTTCAAATCACACCTTACACCCTCATTCACTATTCCCTACATGAGTATAGTCCACCTGACAGAGAGAATGAAAACTAATGAGTGAATTCAGACACTGATGAACACCTGCTGTTAATGAGCAGATTCACTGTTGGAAAGAGAAACAAGACAAACACAAGAACTACAACAGACTTCAGCCACAGCGCCTTTTAGATGTATTTGTTATGGCGGAATTGTCAAGTGATGTTGTTTATTTCAAATAGTCATGATCTGCTAGATTGACATATATAATTATATGAATGTTGTTTAAATAAAAAAAAGTCCCAGTGTTTTACAGCATGAGATTGCTCACTGTTGACAACCAGAAAATAAGAAAGATTTTAGAACTACTATATAATTTACACTCAAAGAGAGACATCAAGAATCAGCATATGTATCTCAACAATGGTGACAATCAAAAGCTTCATGCTGCAATGCATGCTGGGTACCAGCACAGTACAAAACTCATCCATGACTCCCAGCATGCATTGCGGCATGAATAAGTTACGGCACTGAATTGTCCACTTATTTTCTTGAATTCTTACTATGCGCTGTTTAAATAAAAAAAGTCCCAGTGTTTTACAGCATGAGATTGCTCACTGTTGACAACCAGAAAATAAGAAAGATATTAGAACTACTATATAATTTACACTCAAAGAGAGACATCAAGAATCAGCATATGTATCTCAACAATGGTGACAATCAAACGCTTCATGCTGCAATGCATGCTGGGTACCAGCACAGTACAAAACTCATCCATGACTCCCAGCATGCATTGCGGCATGAATAAGTTACGGCACTGAATTGTCCACTTATTTTCTTGAATTCTTACTATGCGCTTTTATTTTTGCTTTTGTTTTTGTGTTGAGTTTTGGTAGCATGTTTTGTGATGTTTAGAATTGATCTGTTTATTTATTTTGTGGATTGCTACCATTGTTGAGATTCATATGCTGATACTTGATGTGTGTCTAAATAACAACAAGGTTTTTTTTTAATTTAATGAGTGATGTGTTTTAGCGGTCTTTCATAATTGATGGCTCAGCCCTGCTTGTTCTTTTGCTGTAGTATCAATATTCAGTAAGAGAAGAGACAATGGATAAAATCAGTAAATCAGGTGTAAGAGCATGATTAATATGATCAATTCATAAACAAAAATACCAGATTTCTTTTTTGATTCTTTTTTGCCATAAACATTTTTCAAAAACACATTGTTACAGCAGCCAAAGAAAAGTTAATGTTAAAAAGTCAAGGTTCAAGAACCCAAATAAAGTAAACGCTGATCACCATGGTAGAGAAAAAACAAACAAACAAAAACATCTAAACCTCTATAACTCTCAATAAGATCTTCTGTAGACGTCTGACAGAAATAAAGTCAATCCGGTTAGTAGTGTGAAGCTGGTAATGCTGTTTTTAGGAGTTGTTTAATCAGATCTTGAGAGATTTAATGTCTTTTATTTCATAAGTTGATTTGTGGCTGAAGTCAGTTGTAGTTCTTGTGTTTCTCTTTCATTCAGTGATTCTGCTTGTTAACAGCAGGTGTTCATCACTAATGATCAATAAGCACTTAATTAATCACAAAATCATCTCATTAACTTCATCACTGATTCAGTGTTACTTTAACACTCTGTGGACACATTATGTGTTCATTTAAAACGGAGGATTGTGCTGTGGGGTTTAAAGGGTTAAATATGTAAAATTACCCCCCAAAAAACGTAATTTTACAGTAATAAACAGTAATTAATTTACGGAAACAAACTGTAGAAAAACAGTAACATGCTGGCAACCGAGCTGCCAGTAGATTACCATTAATTCAAGGAAAAAAACAGTAATATACTGTAAAACATAACTGTCAGATTTACCAAACAAAACAAGTTAATTTCACTAAAATATTAGTGAATGCTCATAGAAAAAAAAGTTATGCAAAGTCATTTACTGATAAGGAGAGTAAATATGAATCTTAACTGTATTAATGTGTTTTTGCACAAGAGAGCTCTGTTAGTTTTGTGGGTCACCATTGTGCTGGAGTGTAGAGCTTGTGCTTCTGTCATTAATGAGCCATGTTTGTGGGCTGAAAGACTTCAAGGCTTTTTTTTAAGAATTCAAAAACGTGTAAAAATGAGGTGATCTGAGAATTGATTATAAAGAGAATTTCTTGAGAAGTTTCATCAAACATCCACCATGAAGAATGGTATGTTTATGTTTGGGGTGTCTGAGAAACATGATTGAAGGCTATGAATTTTGGACTTGTTTACATGTTCGTTTCTGTAATTTGTTGAGTTTACAGTACAATGGATAACAGTCACATGTCTGTTCATCAAGAATCTGAAAGGGAAATAATCAGATCATAATTATATGGGACCCTAAACATAACAAAAGACTCAGATATTTTTGTTGCAAATGGAACTTGCATGACTTCTAATGCATTACCCCCAACACAGTCTGTTTCTGACCTTTAGAATGAAATGTCATGTTTTAGAAAACTTTTATATGTAAAGTACGTTTGTTATGTTTGGCTACCCTTTTCTTATGTGAAGTGATTATGAAGGCAAGTGGTGTTGCTGTTGTGTCCAATACAGACCAACATCTTTGTAAAGCATATCTCCACACAGAACATAAATCTCTTTTATTTCGAAAGAGCAAGAAATAGTCCTTTTTTCTTGTTTTCCATTATATGAACCCTTTAACTATGAAATGTCCTCTTATAGGATGTTTTGTGTATGATCAAGCAGAAATCTCATCTGCTGTCTTTAGGTGGCGAATCTCTTTGGCACGCACCGCTCCACTATAATCACTCTGTATAATGGAGCCTTTGATTCTTCCTCTGCAGTTTTCCTCATCATCAAGGTAAGAGGCAAATAAAACACCTCACACTGGAGAGAAAGATAAGATTGCTGGTGAAATCTTGAATCATGATGGTCACATCTATCTCTTTCAGTTGCTGTATGAGGATGGAGTCTCTCTGCTAGGGTCTTTCCTCTTCTTGGCCTGCTGCAGTGTCATTCATCTGTTCCGGACATTTGTGCTGATGCCTCGTACACATATCCCATACCCGCTTCCGGAGAGCTACACCTATGGGTAAACAAAACATTCAACACCTCTTCCTTCAGAAACATGCAGAGAAGAGTTTTTTTAAATATTTGTATTAGCTGCAAACAATATGAGAACTTTGCCTGCAGGAAAACAACAAACACCAAGATGAGCAGTCAGAGTTTTGTTTCGTATTGTTTTATTATTTCATTCCATTACATTTAGTCATTTAGCAGACGCTTTTATCCAAAGCGACTTACAAATGAGGACAATGGAAGCAATCAAAATCAACAAAAGAGCAATGATATGCAAGTGCTATAACAAGTCTCAGTTAGCTTAACGTAGTACATGTAGCAAGTGTTTTTTTGTGTTTTCATTTTGTCACTTGCATTGTATCCATTCTCTCAGTGTGGTGTGGACGTCCTTTGTCCACATGTGTGCATTGAAGTCTTAAGTAATGAATTTAGGTAAAGGCGTGCAGAGCCAGTTGTGGTTTTGTAGGCAAACATCAATGATTTGAATTTTATGCGAGCAGCTATTGGTAGCCAGTGCAAATTGATAAACAGAGGTGTGACGTGCGTTCTTTTCGGCTCATTAAAAAATTAATTTTGCTGCCATGTTCTGGATTAATTGTAAATGTTTTGTAAGAAAAAGTGAAGACGTCGAAGATCTTGATGAAGAATAACTTTTATTACAGAATAGTAGTGACCCCTTCTCTTGTGGAAGTCCCCTGGCTCCACTGGCCATGCTGGCCTTCTTGAAGTCCTTTTTCTTCTGGAAGTCCCCTGGCTCCACTGGTTTTGCTGGCCTTCTTGTCCTTCAGATGACCAGATCATCTTTCTCCAGCACCTCGATGCTTATACCTGAAACGAGACCAAAGAGAAGAGGTTTCCCCCCCTTTCCCCCACAAGAATCTTTTCACATTCAAAACCAAAGCTACAGAAATTGAATCACAGAATGCAATCCCAACTCACAACAAGGTTTCTGGCTGTTTTTGAAGGTGTTATGGTTGATGTGCCTAACTGGATGGTGTAATTGTGATGAAACGATGGGTTTGCTGGAACCACAAGTTTAAGGTGATGGTCCTTAATCCAGCAAGAAATGTCTGTTAGACAAGTTGAGATGCAGGATGAGAGGTAGAGTTGAGTGTCATCAGCATAGCAGTGATCTGAAAAGCCATGTTTCTGAATGACAGAGCCTAGTGATGCCATGTAGACAGAGAAGAGAAGTGGTCCAAGAACTGAGCCCTGAGGCAC